AAATACCAGAGTGCTCGTGTTTCTAAACAGGAATCCTGAAAGGAAAAATAAAAAGCTTATATCTACAGTTTATATCTACACATATGCAGAAGCAAACCATCTCTAGTGGAGCCAGATCTCTGTTTGGCTTCCAACCTCACAAACGTGGCCATCACCTCTAAACACAAACCTCTGGAATCTACAGAGAAATACTGAGAGATCCGGGAGAAGTACAAAAGCAAGCAGAATACTTCACTTGGACTTTCTATTTTCGTGAATATGGCAAGAAAAGAGCCAACATTAAAGCACTCTTAACAACTCTAAAATCCTAACTTTCAGTCTGTTTGCCAAAGGTTTTCTTTGAACTGGAGATTTTCTAAGTGTTCCCAGACTGTGTAAAGTCTAACTCATAACATTCAAATATTTAAAAAAACAAAGGGCAAAAGCAAACAGAGAAACAACAACAAACTTAGAGGTGATTCATTACATCTCATCACATCAGCAACTCTCTGTCGAAACAGCATCCCAGGAAACCTCATCCTGGATCCAAGGCAGGGGTCAAAAGATTGGAACTTCATTTCTTGCACTATAATATCATGTATCCCCTGCACTGCTCTGCATCTCTTTACAGAGACAGCCATGCCATGAAAAATAAGAGGGAGGAAAAAGCTAACCTGATTACACAGCTTTTCCACAATTTACTGGAACTAGATGTTCTCTTCTGTAAGATATAAAAATACAGACTTCCAAAGGGTCCCTCACAGCACAAAAGCTGTTATTCACTGCCCCCATCTTGATTACAATCCCAGTCAGCCCTCTTACTTGTAAACCCAAACCTATCTAGAAATTATCAGCAGACTGATTTCTTGCCATCCTCTGGAGCACCACAAACAGGCCACAGCTTGAACAAGGACACCGGTTGCCATGAAGCACCAGCCATGTCCCCACTCTCCCCTTTCTGTGGCACCCTGCAGTACAAGGTTTCCAGTCACTGTGCTGGAAAGAGGTCAGGCTGGTAGAGGGTGTCATAGACCATCTTCTGGCTCACGGTAGGATGAGAAACCGCAGACTTTCTTGTGGAGCAAAGACTTATCGTCTATTACATCATCTTTTTAGTCACAGGGGACTGATCTCAACACCACTAGTCATCTTTATGAACCCTGTGCTGACATGGCTGAATGACAACACAAAGTCACCACTCATTGCTGCCACTAAAGGTTTTTGTGGACTGGGCAAGGCACAGACCACAGCTGCATTAACTTCTGTCCTGATCAGCTGGCCACACTCACGGTTGCAAGAAAGGTAATTCTCCAAATACTCAGGGATACTGAGCACACAAGTCATTCATGAAAGAGGAACAAGGATCACCTCTGTTCACACCTTGCCTCTAATTCCACCCATGTATTACCACAAAGTATGATTTTAATTTACTAACCAGCCTAGACCCCAAAAAAAGTTAAATCAAAATTCAGCTTGGGACTAAAAGAGGAGCTGATTAACTCATTCAACCCCATGCAAAACAAGGGGATGATAGTTTAGTAACTTTTTCAGCAGTAAACTGTCTGTACACCTCTAGCACCTAGAAGGCGAAGACAAAAACAGCACCCCAGAATAACACCCTTGTCTGCAGTTTGAAAGAGAAAGGGACACTTCCCAGCTAGCCACAACACTTCTCATCTTTCATCACACAAGGAGCAGAGGAGGAGAGAGATTGTTGCAAGGGTACTTTCTCTTCCATCTGTGCAGCAGTCAGTCTTTTCTAACAAGAAGCAAATACAGCTGCATCAACAACTGCATTTCAGTGCAGTTTCACCAGTGACTTAGGCTAATACAACTTTCTTTTTTTGTCTTCTCCCCTGTGTTAGGCATTATTTTTACCCAGATCAGCAAGCTGATCCAAATGATTCAATCATCCAAGTCAGCAAACAGAGCATGAGGTAGTTCCTTGCTAGTATTTATACGGTTAAATCAGCAGTACCTTTGGGGCCTTTTACTTCCAAAGCCTTTTACTTACAAACCTGTCCAAATACTTCTAGGTGACATTCCTGGCCGGTAGCATTTGACTTTTGCCATTTATGGAACAGCGAGAGCTAAAACCCAGCAGTTCCTGGTAGACCTTTTCCTCCCACGCCACGATTAGCTGAAATATGTCCCAGAAGCAGATAGCAGCCATGATCCGATTTGTCCCAATCCCAACTCAAGCAGCTTTACACCACCCTCCTAACAAGATCAGCACTGGCCAAACACCATTTATCCAGCCTGATCAAAGATGGATTAGATAATGAAACCCTAACTGCATAAGCTGTCTGAGCATGCTGGCCTGAGACAGCAGAAAACAAGAACACCACTAAATCTAAGGGCTATTCAAAGCTTTCAGGTACCCCCAGCCCCAAGGTATTAATAACTAGCTACTGTCTTATCTCCCTATAGCCTAGTTTTGATATTTCATGCTAATAGACCCCCCCAAAAATCTATTAGTTTTACAGCTACATTAATAATTTGTACATCTAAATGATTTATTTCAGCATTACACACTGTGTTTGTATCCTGAGCCATTGGTAGGTACAGGTTATTCAAAGAAGAAATGGTGGGGGGCATAGCATTCCGTGATTCCTTGCTATCAGCCCAGAGACACGAGGTCACCAAGTTTACACAGCAGCAACCCGTAGCTCTGGAACAGGAAGTAGAAAATTGACAGGATCTCCAGGAAAAACAAGGTACAACGGTTGCTGGTCTGATTTCCAGCTTTCAGAAAGCCTCTAGTACATAGGAGAGGGAGGAAAGAAAACATCAAAGAATAGGCTCTTTATTCCTCTTGTAAGCATTACATACAGTTAAACATAGAGGATTTACTAAAAAGAAGCTGTTATTCTAAAATAAGGTACTTCAAAAGAAGGCACTATCTGAAGCGAAATCCTTATGAAGGGCAATCTTGTGTTTTGTCTTTTAAGGAAAAAGATACCGAATTTCCCAAACATTAAAGAACATATTTTTCCTACCTCTGATGTTATTGGTAAGTTTGGCTTCTAATTTGGTACTTCTTGCTTGCAAACATGAGAAGATTCTCCAAATATATAAACTACACTTTTTAAAACTAAAAAAAGTCAAGGGAAACTTCTGGACAGAGAATTATAGAACAGTTTGGTTAGAAAGGACCTTAAGGATCACCTAGTTCCAAATGATGGTATGTATTTGCACATATATACATACATACACACATGTATATGTTTATTTTCATCTTTTATAATAAAAGGATTAAAAAAATTTTCCATATGGACACATATGGAAAGATTAAAATTAAGAATGCCAAATAAGTACAATATGAGTGTCCTAATCTGAAGAACAGCTACACTGACTACAGACACACTTAAAAATTGGGCTCTACTAGTTGCACCTCACCTAATTTCTCCACTGTTTCCCACTATCTGGTACAGAAATAAACCCCAACTTTCTGCTAATTAATTTGACAACCAATCCCTACTATCATGACCACCAGCATTACGCACACTGTTGTAGCCCCATGGCTGAACACTGCAATCTTACTATTCACTGAACAGACAAGACACTTTTCAATGTAAATACAGGAGGGAGTTTTTTATCTGTAGAAAAATTGTACTAATTTGCAATTAAAAACAAAAAAATAAACAAACAAAAAACCACAGACTTTTGCTAAACCAGCCCAAGTCCCTTCTTGAGCAATTTTCAGCTGATTTACCCAGGTTTGTATCAAAAACAGCCAGTTAAACCACTGTATCCAGGGTAAACTGGTGCATCTTCTGTAAGTACACAGGATCTCTGCCTCAGTTGAACTCTGAGGAGCTGGAAGAATTTCGTGTCACTACGCTTGTGCACTCATTCGTAACTCCTAGCAAGACACACCGTATAAACACTGTGATGCTGAGCATCTTTCTCCTTGCAATTGTACACATTGCCTGAGTCATACCTGACACCTACGTGTGGGAGAGCACACTACTTCAAGGGATAAAGGAGCACTGCACGATTTGCACTGGTCCTTGGGAGAGCACAAGCAGCAGCAGCGCTCGGGTACAAAGCTCCAGCAAACGCTCAGGCCACACCATCACACTTGGGAAAGACTGACGCTGTGGGGTGGAGAGACCACCATGAAAGGCTGAACATCAGACAGAACCACAAACAAAACCTTCCTGCCGCAAGCTGTTTAAAAAATAAATAATTCTTGAGCGTGAAAAACTGGGGACAGCCTAGGAAATAAAAAGGGAAGAGTGTTGGCCAGCATTTGGCATCTTGATAAGAAACACCATGGAAAGAATGGGATACTCCCTTTGGAAAGCCAGGAGCGCTTACCAACCCTAGAAAAGGTAAGAAGAGAAACAAGCTCAGATGAATAAATCACGCTGCTTCCAAAGAGCTCTGATATTCTCATCACGAGAGACAGAAGCAGAAAAGGCCAGTGCAACTGCCATGATAAAAAAATCCTCCACAACACTCAGACAAAGGGAGGCAGAAACACCTTGGCAGTATCACCCCACAAACACAAAGGCCAACGCACCTGAAACAAGCGATGTTTTGGGGACGATCAAACCGCGCTGGCAGGAGACGACAGAAACGTGGGACTCTGAACCACCCTAGAAGACGCCCCACTGCTCCGCTTCCCCCCTTCCCAGGCAGCACCTGGGATTTCTCCTGGCGCTGCACAAGCCCCAAGCGCCGCGCGTAAACCCCGCCGGGCCCGGAGCGCTGCCGGTGCCCCGCACCCGACCCCGACCCCGCGGCCTCCCCGGGCTGCCCGGCGGTGCCCGGGGCGCGGACCCGGTGGTGGCTGCCCCAGGGCCCCGCGCCGCTGCCCCACGTGCTGGGCTGCGCTCCGGGAGCCGCCGGGCTCGGCCCGGGGGAGCCGCGCTCGCCTGGCTGCCCGCGGGGAAAGGGCCGCACGCCCGAGCGCAACGCGCCGAATCCCGCAAACCGAAATCAAACGCGGCCCGGCCCGGCCCGGCCGAGCCCCGGGGAGGGAGAACCGGGGACGGCCCGGCCCTGCCCGCTACCTGCATGCCGCCGCCGTCGGCCTCCGCCTCCGTCCGCAGCCGCTTGCTGTGGCCGCCCTCCGCGCCGTCCCCGCCGGGCATGGGCTGCTCCAGCTCCGGCTCCCGCTTCACGCCGCGGGCGGACCCCGCGCCGCCGCCGGCCAGGAGCTGCGGCTGTGGCTGCTGCTGCTGCGGGGGCTGGCCGCCCTCCGCCATCCGCGCCGCCGGAGCCCCGGCCGCCCCCCGCCCCGATCACCCCGCTCTGTCACCGCGGCGCCCGGCGCTGCCGGAGGAGCGGGAGCAGCAGGAGGAGAAGGAGGAGGGCGGCGAGCCCCGCGCCGCGACCGGAGCAGCAGCGGGCGCGCCGGGCTCCGACCCACCGGAGCGCCTCGGTCACGGGCTCGGCGGCGGCTGGGGAGGGGCCGGAGCCCCTCGGCAATCTCCGGAAACGCCGCCGGAGCAGCGCGACCCCCTCTCGGAAACCTTCGGCGGCGGCGGCGGCGCCGGGCGGGGCGGGGCGGGGCGGGGCGCGGGGCGGGGCGGGGCCGGCGCGGGGCCGGCGCGGGGCTCCGGGCGCCGCGGAGCCGCACGGGGCGGCGGGAAATGGCCGCTCGGCCCAGCCCGGCCGGCCCCGCCGCACCGCGCTCGGCAGCGGGACTGCGCCCAGCCCGCCCCGAGTCCGGCTGCCACCGCCCTGCGGGAGCCTACAGCGGGTGCGGGACCCCCGGCGGGGCTGCGGCGGTCACGGTGGTCGGAGGAGTGCGGGGCACCCAGCCCTCGGGCAGAGCCGGGTCCCCCGTCACGGCCCGGCTTGATCCCGGCCCCGTCGGCGCAGAGTTGCCTTTCGGCGTGAGGTTTCCGCAGATCTTCCCTAAGGAGCTGAGGTGAATCTGGGGTGACGGGTACTGGCCTGACCCCCGCTTTAGGAGGATCCAGCGGCACGGGATGTGCCCAGCTCTGTAGCCCCGTATCCCGCTCAGAGCAGCCTCGCATCCCTCGGTGCACTGTGTTCGTTCCGGCCTTTTCCTGGCCTCTTCCTTGCACCTCACTCCAGGGCTCACCTTGCAGCCCCAGAGCACATCTGATTTCTTGAGAAAGGGCTGCACTGGTTTCTTGTCCGTAATGGCCTCCATGGGTTTCTCTTGCACATATATACATATATTTATATCTCCTCATTTTTTCTCCTGCATATGACTTCCAACCAGATGGAGACACTAGTCTGCAAGAACCCAAAGCCTGTTCATCAGCCCTTTTGTGTGCCTCCATGTTTTTGATCTTGAGGAACAAATTTGGGATCCTCAACCAAAACTTGGAGTTGATTTTATTACTCAGCTGCTATCTGGTGGCGCTAAGGACAATATCTGCTCTAGAATGAGGAAGGCATAGGCAGCCTGCGTTGTCCTGAGCATAGTCTGGAAGCCATGGCAACTTGATGGAGAGCTAATCCACAGATCATAATACAAATCTGTGGTTGGCTTGATTATGGGATGGGAATGACACTCCTGCCTGCCAACCATTTGGAGAAAAAGGAAGAAACTAAAAATGGAGTTGGTCAGTGTGAGGAAGCCTTTCTTGAATTCTCGAATATCACCATGTGTAAGAAAGCCTGGGGACCAGTTAGATTATCTTGGTGTTCCATATCCCCTGTATGTGCTACATCTGTTGATCTTCATGAAATTATAGAGCCTTTAGTTTTGAGTGACAGTTACCATACATGACTCCAGTCTTCCTTTACACCACATTTTTCCTCATCCAAAAATAGTTTTCAAGGCCACACTGAAAGCTATTTTAAGTGGTATGTTTTCTGCTGAGGTGCCAGCTTGTCTCCTCCAGTGACGGGGGAAATCTCTTTTTTTCAAAATGATTGTAAATCCCCACGGAGTGGCAGGCACCCAGAAGACAATTACATGCAGCTTTTGTCTGCTCACCCACCAAGGGTAAACACATGTCTCATTCATCTTGACTGGGTTTGATAAAATGAGCCAGACTGTCAAACAACACTGAAGAAACGTGTTCAGTCCATTCTTGGCTTGGAAAGAAGCTGAAATTCTCATGGCTGGGATGCTGCTCATACAGAGAAAAACAGCTTTTTTGTATTTCTCCTTCCCCCCCTACTTTTGAGAAGGGATTCTACATGAATAGTCCAGGGTAAGGTATTGCCTGTGAGGGTAATAGGCCTGCAGAAGGCCTCAACCTTCAGACAAGTTAGGAATAAACAGTTTGGAGAGAAATCTTGGGAGCATTCTTCTCACTGTGGTGAGAGTCTATCTGACCCTTCCCTTGGGGATATCAAAGAAAGGAGTTGCCTTATGGTGCCCAGCTTCCATTTTTCTCTTCTCCTTCTCCTAACCCCATTTCCATCATCTCCTGCCATGCAGGTGCCACAGCTGCTGCCAGTTCTGCCTTGCATCCTGTGTGCACGTGGTCTGTGCTGCAGAGCAGCTCCTGGCAGAGCTGGCAGTGCCATAGGCACATCCCTTGGAGAGGCATTTTCAGCTGGCTATGGTATGCAGCCTGCCAGGGGAGCACCCTGACTTATGGTGCAGGTGGAAAGAGCTGAGTCCTCAGTGACCTGCAGCTGCCACCACCATGCTCTGTGCCATTGTGAGCTTTCAGACACTACTGCCGTGTTACTGCATACTACCATTCATCCAGATCTTTCCATTTCCTCTTAAAATAAGATTAATTAATTTATCTTCATGGTATGTTTGTGGGATGGGTATTATCTCCATTTAACAGATGGGATATGAGGCATTCCTGAAGTCACAAAAAAGCTTTTGAGCTAAGACACAATCTTAATCCGTTGATTTCCTTTCACACAACCCAGCTGCCTTTTAGGTATTTGTATGTGACATCTGAGACATACTAAATAGACAGCTGACTCTGTTAACCCTTCCACTGCTGCACAGCACTCTTCCCAAAGGCTCCTATGTGCTGTGATTTCATGGGCAAGTTTGAAGAGCGCTCACCAGCACTTTGCCTTTGACAGATCAAAGACAGGCAATCCTAGGATGTGTTATCCTGGCAGAGAGCTCCCAGAAGCTGGCATGAAGAGTATATCTTTCCTGAACAGATTCATACAATTTTAGAATAAAATTGTGGTGGTTTCCTCCCCTCAGAAGGATACCTTCTGAAGAGATTCCTTGGAGAAACGTGCTGGTTCTCCCGCTGGGCTGGAAATCAGTCTCATCAGGATGCCGGGTGTGAAACATCTATGGAAGTACAAAGGGCTGGGTCCCAGAAGGTGCTTGAATGGAGCAGAGGCGGTGACTCATGAAGGTTCTAAGGCACAGACATGAAGAGAGGCGCAAACTCAGTTGTTAGCCTTTGGCTCTAAGGCATAGAAATCATGCAGAGACACTTCAAAGCAAATGTCTTCTTTCCACCACCACAACTGAGAAGTGTTTCTTGCTGATTCCATCATCTACACACCATATCTCACCCTGCTGACCAGCTCTCTCTTGCCCTTTCAGCCTCCAGCAGCTTTGTTCCTCTCCTTCATGGACAATTTTGTCTCTCTGCTAAGTGGGTCAGGTGAGGTCTAGCACCAAGCTCCTTCCTGCTGTTTCTGTCCAGTCAGACAAACCTCTGGAGCCAAATGCTCTTCCTTCTCACAGCAGTGCTCCCACAGGTGATGAAGTGCCGCCAAGGTAAAGTTTCAGCCTGGACTTTGGTCCTGGTTTCGCCAGAAGCGGTGATGGAGCTTTCAGTAGTAACTACTGTGAGTAAATGTTTCGTCTTCCTTATCTCAGGCCAGCAATTTGCTACAAAATTTTACCAGCAGAAGCTGCCTTTTCCTGTAACCAATTAGCACACAGCTGAAAATATATAACCTAAGTCAGCAAAATCCAAAGATCTTGTCACCTGGCCCAAACCATGTGCCAGGACGATGCCAGTGCCCGATGCCAACATCAACATGTCACTGTGACGCAAGGTGCTGGCAGCTGTCACTCACTGGCCCAGCAACCACAATGCACCTGCTCTTTTCCCAGTGCCACCTCTTGCAATGAGGACACCTGGCTTCAGGAAACGCCTCCAAGCACCTCGGCACTCCAGCAAGGCAGCAGTGTCAGCAGCTGGGAATCCACCAGAGAGCTCAGAGCAAAACCTTCCTGACTCATTTTCCTGTTTCCTGCAAACATCCCTGCAGCACATTTATGGTTGCTGTTTGCTTGGTCTGTGGTTCTGTGGGGCATCAGGCTGTACAGCAGGTGTGGCATTTCAGGTGTCCCAAATGGCATCTGCAGCACAGATGCAGTTACCTGCATGGATGCAATTAGCATAAAAATGCCATCTGCCTGCACTGCTTATGCCTGGGGGCATGGGGAATAAAGTAGGTCCTTCAGCACTTCTAACATGAAACAGCATCCCTCTATATCCTAAAAATGTGTAATAGCAGAAAGGTGTGTGAAGAGCACATCTGGGAGATGAAGGGTCTCTTGTTTTCCCGTTGAGATGGCAGGGCTGACTGGATAAATGAGACTGAGATAATGACCAAGAGAAACAGTGTGAGCCACAGAGCTACCACAGGGTACCTCCCTCCATGGGGACACAGACCAGAAGAAAAAAACCTCATTGGCTCTCCCCTACCCACTGGATGCCAGAGATCCAGTACTTGGGAAATACCTGGTGCTTATTCCCCTCGGCTGCCTGTCATGAGTGAACCAGAGGTGGCTGAAGGCTGGAGTCCATATCAAGGGGCCAGCAGTGGCTGCTGTGGATGCAGTCCTCCAGTGGCCTGGCCACACATCTCTGGCTGTGTCTCTGAAGCATCTCAGGGCTTTGCCACCCTCTCCTCTCTCAGACAGGAGTCTGTAGCAGCCTGACATACTCAGCTTACACGGGCACACAGACAAAGAGAGAATACCAATCATTATTTGCAACTGCGCATTTCCAAATAGGCTGGAGGCTGCACAGCTTGAGAAGGGCAAATGCCCTGCTGGAGGCAACATTCATTCCTGGTGTAACAGGCAGATAGAGCAAAGGACAAAGCAAAACATTCTCTGTGGTGGCTGGGCACATCGTGGAACAGAACAGGGTGGCAGGAGGCAGGGTTATCACATAACTCCTGTTCATTTTCAATGAAGCACCCTGTTTATTAGGGCCCTTCAGCTACAACTCAATTTACTACATGGCTGATCTCTGGAGTTGAGGCTGATTCTTCCTCCCTAACTGGTTCATTGAAAAGCTTCTGAAAGTGCATTCTTACACACAAA